ATATTTCCAGCCCAGCAGTGCCTCTGCTACCGTTGTCTTTTTGGCCCACATTGCTGAGGAGGAAACTGATCCAAGCTTCCTAGGCAGTCATCTTGGGAAGCAGCAATCTGGACATCTGGAGATCTCTCCGTGTGTGTATGGCAGGAGGAATGAGAATTGAATAACAAAATTATATCTGTGGATGTTTTAACTAGTATTAGCTAATCTATTTCCTTTCTGTGGTGGAAAAAAAAAGTGGTGAAAGGAGGCTCTGCAAGAGGATAACATAAATCCCTTGTGCCCATTTTTTTTCAATATCCTTTCTGTAGGAACAGATTCCTTAATTCTGTTGTGGAGGATAAAAAAAATAAGAATGGCTTTGGGGTATGGAGCAGTCTTCTCCCTTCTTTTAAACTTTTATCAAGGTGAAAGTGTTTCTTGACTCAGATAATATGGTCTTGTATGGGATAGTGCCTGCACAGAGCAAGTAGCTCCCTCGCTCATTGTAGACTAATTTTAAGAGGCCGGATTCGGTGCACTTTCAGCAGCCTTAAACCAGTGTGGTCTCACTGACACTACAGCAACACTGCTTCCTTTGTACTTATGTTCTTGATAAATTGTTAAATTAATATAGTTGTTTAAAGAGGCTGTGGATCAGGTCACCGAAGAACTTCAGGTTCATTTGAAAATTACTAGGTCTGTAGCATGGTGGGTTCATATGTCATGTTGCGCTGTACCTAAGAAATACAACTGCAGGCTTATCTGAAAGGGGACGTGGGGCTATTCCTCCCCAGGTGCAGGACCCTGCACTTGCCTTTGTTGAACCTCATGAGGTTACCTATGATTATGCACACATATGGTTATAACACACATCAACTTTTAACTTTGGCCAGCTTTAAGAGCCATATTTTCATATATCTTGACATTTTAAAGTAAGACTGGCAATTGTGAATGTATTCATGCAGCCTTGGGAACAGAGCAGAAAAGCAACAAATCTAGGAAGTAAGTGCTCCAAATCTTCCATTTGGACAAAAGCGTGCTGTCCGAATAAAACCTTTTTGTAAGGCAAATACAGGCACAGACAAGAAACACTGAATCCTAAGCCTGCCAAGTGGCAGTGGTTGGCATGTTATAGTGCAACTGCACAGGATCCCTAAAAATGAAAAACCTGAGTATTTCACACCTGAACTGTGTGGAAAACACTATGAATGATGAGGCAGCTCATACTGACTTTAAATGTTGCAGTAGGGAAATGTCTGTACATTTGAAAGGCCTCACTTGTTAAACCTTGTGTGCCTGACATACAGTCCTTAGCTGAATGAAGATAAGCCTGGTTTGTAGTTGTTGGTTTTGTTGTTTACTGGCTGCCTGATCTTAGAGGGACTGCATCGCGTCATGCCTGCACGTCGCCTTCTAGAAGGTGGGACTGATCTTTGCCTCACTTTTCAAAGACTTTCTGAGACTTGTCCATAAACAACACTTTATAAAAGTAGTATATTTATTAATTCATTTGTTCTATTCAACACTACAGCTTCTGTGAGGGGACTGCACAGTGGCTTTCAATTGCTCTGGCTCTTGCTACAGACAGGTCTCCGTTGCCCTCCTTCTCATGTCTGTTCTTCATACAGGCAGATTTCCTTTCATGCTGAAGATGGTCTGTGCTCTTGGTAAAATCTGGAGCTCAAATGTTATTGAAATGCTTCTAATTTATTTGTTACAAATTACACTTAATGACTGTTACAGTTACAAAGCCAGATAGGAATTACATTGATATTTCTACCCAACTTGATGTACAAACAATGCATTAATTGATATTCCGTTGTAACACATTCATCACTACATTAAAAAAAAAGATAAAGGAAAATCAGCCCGGCATAGGAACAACTTTAGGAAGTTAGTGATGCAGCTTGTCACATTATCCTTTTTATTCTTAAATTACTCCCAGAAGCCTTTCCTGTTCCTCACACCTGCTTTGCACGTGTCCCATGAATGGGCTTTCCTACTAATCGTAATTTATGGCTAAGTTCGAGTAGGCATCTTGAAGGAAGACTCAAATGACCTTTTTTTAGCAATTTAAAGCAAGGAAAAAATATGCAGTCAGTGCAATGAGCAGATGAATGCGAACGCGAATTTGGCGGCGTTCAAGAGCGTGTCCTGCTGCACGTGGAGCTGAAGCACGTGGTAGCTATTTGAATTGCTCAGAGCAAATGTTCTGCATTGGAAGCTTCTGTAGTTGGTACATTACTGGGACAGGTCGCAGGTGTTAAGGAAAGCGATTTTGCTATTAGGAAATGGGCTTTAGTGGCAGAAACAAGCTTGGTTGGACCCAATCTTGAAAGTGTTTTCCAGCCATTCTGATTCTATAAGAACAGAATTCTCCTAGGATGAAGCCTTCTTTAAACCTTAGCAGTGTGTAATTCTGTCAATAGCCATGCATGCTCTGGAGTGGCTCATAAAACTCTTGCCTTCTTTAAACCTTAGCAGTGTGTAAATCTGTCAATAGCCATGCTCTGGAGTGGCTCATGAAACTCTTATAGTGAAAATACTATGGTATTATTTTATTCTTGTATATAGTAAGGGACTAAAACAGTACTAATGGGAAAGGAAGCAGTGGTAGTGAACAACCTAGAGCTCAGATCTGCTGTAAATGGTTTTGTGCCCTTCTGCCAGTTCCTGATCCTTGAGCTCTAGTTATTAGAAGGCCTCACGGCCGCTTTCTTTCTGCCTCACAGTTATTAGTGCTCCGTTTAATGAGGTCTCCAGTCGATAATTAGTTCTGCCTCCTTGATGCTGCCCTGTCAGAGTATTCTTAGCAGTCTGTACCTTTAGTTTGAGAAATAAGAACAGCCTTGGTCTACACCCTCTTTCTTAAAGTGTAAATAAAAGTCATTCTTAACTTTCAGATGAAAACTCAATTACACCTAGCTAGATTTTACCGTAATTATGTTTCAATTAGACCTTGGTGTATGAAAACTTAATTAAAATATCAGGTGAACTATGGACCAGCTTAT